CGTCTGCAGAGGTTTGTCTGTGGCCGTTTTATCTGCACTGTCTGTGATGGGGAGGAACAGCTAAACCAACACAGGGGTTTGAGCCCGGCTCCTGGGGGGCCCAGTGCGGCCACCGTCAGCAGCTTCTGTTTTATCTCTAACCACTAAAGAATTTGCCAGAAGGTCAAATTCATCCAGTTAACAGTTAGAAGTGCTGAGAGAGGCTGAATCACAGCACACTCTCTGACCCCCGGGAGCCAGGCTGATAACCGCTCCTCCACACTCTGCCCCCTTTCCCATTTAAAACAGAGTCTCTCCCTTGACCCCCTGCCCCCCCCCCAGGATACCTGAGGGCCAAGCTGAGACAGGCCCCATGGCAGTCAGCCGCCTCCGCACCCTGGAGGAGCAGCTGATCCGAGCCAAAGAGAAGATCAGCAACTTCCAGAGGGTTTCCACGGATGGTAAGGAGAAGCTCGATGCACCCGGGCAGGGGGAGGAAGCAGAACTGCGGAGGAATGGAGGAGAAGGTGTGAGAGGAACCGAGCAGCTGGAACATATGTGTAAGCCGCACTATATTGTGGGAAATGTGCCATTTTTACTATGAAGTCAAAACCAGGAGTTTATAACAACCAATCGTGTGTGAGAGGAACTGGTGCATTTTTACAGAATAAAAATGATGGATGTGAGCTTTTTGAGTGGTTGCTATTCTAGTCATAGAGCTGACAAACTAATAACTGGGTTTAAGTTTGCATACCCCTTTCCTATATGAAGGTAAAAACCTGGCGAGTTTGATCTTCCCCAGGTCTGTTAGTCTGCTGCATAAAACACACAGAAATACTCGCTAAGTATTAGGGCCTCAAGAAGTGTATGGCAAATGCACAGCTTTCGGAAGAACGGTCCATTCAGACAACACAGAAGTGGAATTACTCCAAAATTACATAGAGGCAGTCCCAAAAAAGCCTCAACGGCAAGAGAAATGAACTGAAATGGTATTTGTGGGGGGTTAGCTTGGAAGAAAGTGTTGCTTTAAGCTTACAAAAGACTCGCTGGATGATGCTGTTCTATGTTTTTGACCACTAACAAAAAAGTTCTGTTTGGTATCAATGACACGCCGTGGATGTGCCAAAGTTTGTGATGTTCTTCTCCTCATGAACCTGGAGACCATGCCATCACTGAGGAGGCTGTGCATTCTGAGGCTTGCCAAGTACTCTGGAGACCCACAGTGGGGAGTAAAGAGTGTATTTATAAGAAATAGTGTTGTGTTCAGAAACTGCAAAGATTCCAGACAGGTGGCAATAGCATCACTTGTCTCAGACAAGACCTTGCGGTGTGGGATCGCGCATCCCTCGGTAACCATAAAATGAGGGGGCGGGGCAAGTTACTCCTACGGCAGGCAGTCGGGCTAAAAATACCCCCTGCTCCTGTGCCAGCAGGAGAAAGGAGGGCGAGAGAGCCTCCGATCCCCGAGAGCCACTCACTCCCGGCACAGAGCATCCCCTCCAGAAGTCCTTCACGGTAACCTGAGTCGCACGGCCCGGCCTCGTTCTGGGACAGAGCTTTTGGCATATACGGATGAGCTTCCTTTGTCCAGACATGTTTTCTAGAATAAACGGGAGAGTGAGCCAGCTGGCCTTCAAAGGCCCAAACACATTCAAGGTCATACTGTAGCTGTGAGAGCGTACAGAGTCGTGTCCCGCAAGGCGGGCCTCTGCGAGGAAGATGCACGGCTGGGTCCTTTTTGTTTTCGTGTGGAGGTCACGCTCCCTGACTGGGGGCCGGCGCTGCGTCAATGAGAGTCTCTCAGCCCCGGTGACTCCAGCTGCCCTCTTTTTCCCAGCAGGGCCCGGGAAGAGCCAGGAGGTGCTCCGTCGGAAGATTGAGAATGGGGTGAGGGAGTTCTGGTACTTCATACGCAGCGAAGTGAAGAAGCTGAGCAGCCTGAATGCGGCGGACCTGCAGAGACACACTGACTTGCTGCTGCAGGACTTAGGTCACCACCAGAGGTCAGCCATGACCGGGGGCTGTGCTGGGATGGGGGCCATTATAATCAGACAAGCTCAGAAATTCTCAGGTCATTAAGGGGGTGGAGGTCAGCAGTGCTCAGGTCATTGGGAGGGTGGAGGTCAGTAATGTTCAGGTCATTAGGAGGGTGGAGGTCAGCAATGTGCAGGTCATTAGGAGGGTGGAGGTCAGTAATGTTCTGGTCATTACGAGGGTGGAGGTCAGCAATGTGCAGGTCATTAGGAGGGTGGAGGTCAGCAATGTGCAGGTCATTGGGGTGAAGGTCAGTAATGTTCAGGTCATTAATGGGGTGGAGGTCAGTAATGTTCAGGTCATTAGGAGGGTGGAGGTCAGGGTGGAGGTCAGTAATGTTCAGGTCATTAGGAGGGTGGAGGTCAGCAATGTGCAGGTCATTGGGGTGAAGGTCAGTAATGTTCAGG